AAAAAAAAAAAAAGAATTATTAAAATAAAACATAAAAAAATGTTCCGACGAATTGATACCCTCTCCTTTTTGTAAAGTCGGTCAAAAATTAAGTAGCATTATGGTGCATTTACATGGTATGAATCCATATGAACTGTTGATACGCTAAAGTAGAGGGACTACATGTTCGAATTAGGAATTCAATGATATCGAGTGGGATGCATATAATACATTTTTTCATATGCAAAATTATGGGGAGATACTGTGTGAAATTATAGCAAGGTTGGGAGAATTAACGAAACAAGCAAAAATTTTATGGTCTTCTGTTTCCTTCAAACCGCATTGCTATTTTTTCTAACTCTTCCGTTTGTTTAGCGCTGTAACAGCTTGAGTTATATTTTTTAATTTATACATGTGTTATTTTCAATGAGCATTTTTCCATTTGCTCCTGAATTTCGGGTACATTTTCTTATAGTACCTCTCATTATTTTTCAAGGAATGAAAACCGAAACCCAAACCGAAACCGTAACCGTTTAAAACCGTTTCGTTTTTCAAAACCGAAACCGAAACCGTAACCGTTATCTTAACCTGAAAAGGAACGATACCGAAACCATTTCAATCACAGGTTTCAATCGGTTTCCAGAAATTTACAAAAATAATAAATCAAAATTTCTTTGAAATAAATGATTTATTTAACCAAAATCAGCAATATTTTGCTAAAATTCTTGTTAAGTAGTAAATAAGTATGTCAAGGTAACTTTTCGCAAAAAGCTACTAAAATGGTGCCTAATAAATTAAATCTCGGATCTGGCATCGGTTATTTGGAAGAAGTCATTTTGATTCTCATTTTCACGTGTATAGTTGTAAAGGACACAGAAATGAAGGGGTTTCATAATTATGTAGTAAATATATGACGAAAATAACAATTATATTTTAGTTTTCATACACCTTTAGTTTTACAGCAAAAAGGCAACATTTAAGTGAATTTGGTGATGACGTTGTTGCTGTGTATCTGTGTAGTTTTCAGCGAAAACTGGTTTTCGTTTGACAGATTTTACATGGACGAAAACACAAGTTTTAGGTCGAAACCCAGTTTTAGCAATGAAAACATGTTTCCGATGTCGGTCAGAACATGGTATAAGTGACAAAAACAAGAACAACGTGAATCAGCTGTTTCTCGACTTGTGGGCACTAAATGTGGTTTTTGCGTTCCCGTACTTCTGGACTTTGTTCCATTTTTGAAAGAAAATGTTTCTCTTATTCTCTAATTACCAAATCCGGTCCGGATTGTTAGGGAAAGAACCTAGTGTTGATATTATCAGTGAACTGTAATTTTAAATTTTCTTTCCTCAACCTTTAAGACATTGTGATTTAAATAATGGCTACGGGCGGTATTATCACTTGCGAAGCGAATGATTTTGGCGAAGCGAACGGTTTGCCGAAGCGAATTAAGGGACAGAGAAGGCATTAAAAGTGTTCGCGATGGAAAGAACTTCCACAAGCTGGAAAAAAAGAACACTCTTAATGCATATTTAAGTTGCGTCCGCCAATCCATTCGCTTCGTCAAACCGTTCGCTTCGCCAAATTCATTCGCTTCGCAACTGATAATACCGCCCTACGTTTCTTTATACATTCCGGATAATCTCATTTCACAGCCAGAATAAACAGAATGTGTTTGAAATATACGTTAACATATCATCAGGAACGTTCTAAAGAATAAGTAAACAAAAAAGATTATTCCAAACGTTCAGAATGAATAAAGAAATTCAGCCAATATCAACAAAATTTCTGTGAAAAACCGAAACCGGAACGAAACCGAAACCAAAACCGAAATAAATTTTGAAGAACGAAACCAAAACCGAAACCGAAATACTTGGCAAAACCGAAACCCAAACCGGAACGTTATTTTGAATCGGTTTCATTCCTTGTTATTTTTTATATTACATATATACAGTCCGATGTTCGCGGTCGCCCCTCTATTGGTAACAGTAAACCTCCGAGTGTATTCTGTCATGAAAACAGCTTCTCATAAAAATACAATTACCATTCGGAGTCGGCGTAAAACTGCCCTTCCCCTTTGTTTAACAAAATCAAGGCGCACGCCCCATATCGGATGAGAAGCTAGCCAAACACTAACATATTGTGTAAACGCAAATCTGTATGTTGTCGTTTAAAGTACAAAAGCGCGTATCGTGGTTCTGCAAAACCTCGTAACTGACATTTGTGCCAAAAAAGATATTTGCTCACCCTATCCTCCTATCATTTGCTCCTATCATCAAGCCCTTAATCATTTATACTAAAATTTCGATACTTAGACATAACAAGAGATAATTAAGTTTAAAAGAGAGAACCGTTTTGAATTATGACAAGTTTTACTCTCTCCTATAAAATTTAGGCAACCTCACATGCAAGGCTTTGTCTTTTCTTGATACGCGGTTTTGTACTTTAAATCATGATAAAAACATAGTAAGGTAAAACCGTTCTCTCAATTCGTCGGCCATGATTTTTTTTTTTTTGAAGTTTGCCAACATTTTAAAATTATATAAAATTGAGGGAATAAAAAGGAATTGTTCAAAGTTGTTGTTGTTTGAGAATCAAAATAAGAATGTATGTGTGAGTTTGTGTGTAAAATTTTAAAATTAAATTGCTTGCAAACGTCAAGAATTTGAAAAATTCCTCTCAGCGGTTCTACCTTCCTATTTTTTTATCGTGCTTTAAATGACGATATGTAAAAGTATTGCATATATATTTTGGTGCCTTTTCAAGTATAAAATCCATTGAGAAATGAAAGAAAACGGCATCCCTATTATTTCAACTTATGCCACACGTTTTCAATATGAAAGACAAAAAACGTAAACGAGCAATTTCTGAATAAAAAACTGTTTATCCACAAAGATGTTTGAATGGAAGCATCAGACATTCGAAAAAATAGCAAACCGCAAGGCTTTATTGGCAGTAGGTCCTTTTTAAATCACATTAAAAATAAAATAAGAATATAGTTTCGAAGTTGGCACAAAATGAAATTTTTTTGCATGTTGCTCACAAAAAAAATACTTGCCAAGTATATAAGTCAAAATTGTTAAATATATATCGCTTTCATTCATTTCTTGATAGCGTTGGTGCTTCTTTTATAGGAAAATTCATACGGCTTATGAACAGATTCATACCATGTAAATGCACCATTACGCTTGTGTTATTTATTGCTAGCCTTGCAGCCAGTTTCACCAAACTATTTAAGCGCTTGTTTTGTATGGAAAAAGGTTTCACATGCAAATGGATTTTAACAATTCAGAATTTTTGTGAGAAAAAATTAAAAATATTTGACATTTTCGAGACCAAATAATTTGAAAATAAATCAAATCAGCTGCTCTACTGATACTACCTGTTCAATGTACCTTGGTTCTTTCCTTCCCGCGTGATCTTGTGTCTTTCGTTCATGAAAACAACTGATAGCTGGCAATGCTGCACATGTTTCCGCAAGGGTTGCAGCATGCACTACGAAAATTCGGGTTCTAGAATAAGGGGGTTAATAAGAACTATTCTGTGTGTATGTATGTATTCAACATTTAAAAGACGGATGAGGGACGTTTTCTCATGCCGAAGACCTGGCAACACTGGCTATGGTCAACGCTCAACCACCTTGGCTATCACACGGTGCTTTAAGCATCGCTCCCACAGCTACGGCTTACAAGCCACACTGGGGCTCTCCATGAACGCACCCCTGAATAAATCCCAGCTCATTGCACAGCAGCCTACGGCAGCTAGAGCATGACTCCTCTAATGGAGTCCCACAATTGACACATGGTAACAGGGTCATATCTTGCGCTACCGCTTCATCAGCCTGCCCGCTTAGCAGGCGTATGGAGTGCGTGGTTGGCTTGATGTGCACCTATACACCAGGTGCACACCTCAGCTAAACACCGTGGTTGCGAATATTTGACATTTCCATAAGTTATAGTTTAGAAATAAAAGACTGATGCTTTGGCTTGATGCATTTTAGAACGCGCCCATGGATTATAAATTAAATTGGGAGCATGTTGAGAAATCGTTAAACCTCCTCTACGGATTATTATCGGAGCACTCCCAAAACACTCCCTCTAAATTATCTTCGGGTGACTTAGTCCTTTTTTTAAAAATCATAGGCGAATAGACGAGTCCGCGTGGAGATTTTGCCGACTATCTTAAGCTCGCTATAAAGTTCAATGCGTGCGTGAACATTCACAAAGTTAAGGAATTCCATTTGTATTATTTTGCCCGCTCGTCGTTCGCATGCGAATGCTTTGCGTACGCACACATTTGAGTGTGAGCTTGTAAAATACGCATATTATACAATTAAATTACTTTTAATTCTATAATTCTGTAACATATTTCAATTCTTTATTAACTACTAAAAAAAAGTGAAGTAACGCCACTGGTTAAAATAAAAAGTTCACGCTCGCATTGAATGTACGAGCTTTAGGGAACTTTCTGGGTATCCGAAATCACTCATTGAAGGAGTCTTATAGGCACATTTTTTTCATATATATTGGCGGATATGCTCCTTTGCGCAACGCACAGCGAGTCCCTAATTGTGCACCCTGCGGACTCAGCTGGCTGGCTGAGAGCTAAACGAGTTTATAAATTTTTTCAATAGCCCAAATAATAAATTAAAATTAGTGTTTATTTGAATATTTTTATGTGGAAAACTACATACATATATATAATTTCATACATAAAAGTTACATACTCATAGTTGAATTTAGTAAAAATTTGGGAAAAGATAGTCGGATGAAGGACTTTAATAAAGATAGCATACGACTGAAAATATAAGTTTTTGCCTAATCGTCCATACTCTCATTTCTGTCAGGTGAGGGATTTCCATTCTTTGGAGAAGCTGACCGCGAACGGGAACGAGATTTGTTGTCTGGTGAGGCAGAGCGGTCACTGAAACATCACGAACATAAAAAAAAATGTTAAAATTAGCAGGGATCTTTCTTTGGAATTTTGAAAAAGGTAGTGATGACACAAGTTAGATTAATTTAACCAAAGTAGTACTCGAAATTAAATGCTTTTTTATCATTTCGGTTTTAAAGGACAGCAATCCAAAATAAACAAAAATAAGACGAAAATAGTAGTAAGAAAATCGAAATAGAATAAAAAGAAATTAATTGAAACATTAATGTGCGTGAACAGGCTTACTTATATGCTTACCGTGAACGAGAATCTCTCCTTGACTTGGAACGGGTGCGCGAACGTGACTCACGCTTTGAATTTGAACGCGAACGTGATCGTGAATCACGTTTAGGAGAGCGAGAGCGCGAATGAGACCGCGATTTAGACTTGGACTTGGACAGTTCTCGGGATTTACTTAAAATAAAAAAAGCTTTTATTGTATGGTTTATGACCAATATGTTAATACTTACTTTGAACGAGACCGAGAACGTGACTTCACTGGAGACTTCGACTTTGAACGTGCACCCCGCGACTTGGAACGGCTACGAGACTTTGAGCGTGATCGCGAAGATCGGCGTGATCTGGATCGCGAGCGCCTGCGAGAGCGGGATCGCGAACGGGAGCTGGAGGAACGGGACCTTCCGCGTCCTCCACCGCCGCCACGTCCGCCACGACGATCTTCAACCAAACGTATACGCCGGCCATTCAGCTCGGTGTCATCCAACTTTTCAATAGCAGTCTTCATATCCGATAATGAAGCGAATTCGACAACACTGTTGGGGAAAAAATAATAATTGAAAAGATGATAAATAAAACTTAAAAAAATCTTCAAGTTCGCGTACCCTTCATTGCGGCGTTGCTTGTGAGCATCAGCGTAAGTAACTTCTCCAGCTTGTCTCATGTAGTCTTTCAAATCCTGCTCGATTTTTCAATACCGGAAAGGGAAATATAATAAAAGATCTGCTTAGTAAAATTTGTTACAATTATTGAAAAGCTGTGCTCAGAAAAATGCTATTCAGTAATTTGCTGAAGTATCGTATCAGGGAGTGAGTGCTGTACTACGTCAAAGTTTTGTCTGCAGCGTCCCGCCATTCATGTGTGATGGAAAAACCTGTTCATAAAACCGGCATGATGAATCTCTACCAGTCACAAATATCTCCTCTTTGCCCAAAAATTAATTCCAGTAAACAACGTTCATCTACTATAGTTTAGTACTTCAGCAAATTACGGTTATCTTATCATGTTCAAGGAAATACGGAACAGATAAGAAAAAAGGTTTTTCTTAATCATAAAACTGTAGCATATGTATAAATATATATAAAATAATACGGTAAAGTATTGCAATCTTACTTAATATCACTTCAACAAAGTCTCGCTTTTTGTCAGTAATACTTTCACTGTATATCAAACGTAATTGTGACCTCTCAGTGACCTCAATATAAAGCGTGATTTACGTCCGCAGCGGTTGGATATGACGCGTATAGGACCCTCAGAGGTGTATTGAACGTTTCTCAAACGTGTTCAATGGTGTCCTGGCAAATCGGCACTAATCAAATTCAGAAGTCGAAAGTCAAGTCGCTTAACAAAAGTTACATCCAAAGGACACGTCAACGCATGCACCTCGTCTACCAGAACCAGATCAGATCAAACCAAGTTGTCATCTTTCGAAAAATTGTTTACGCTTATCTCACGTAGACATTTTGGGTTGCAAACATATTGTTCTAATTGTAATATAACGGGCGACAGGACAGCGTGCAATTCGATTTCGATTCATTTTAGTACTTCTTGAAGAGAAGCATCTGACTGCAAGCACACAGACCAATTTTGCGCATACTCGGTATGAAAAGACCTCCGGCGGGCAATTGTGTAAATTTACTTCGCTGCATCGTGGCTCATGCCAACAAAACAACCCAACATAAAAGTGGCTTAAATTTGGGCCGTTATAAGACATCGGAAACCAGTTTTTGCCTGTTTGTGAAAAAATTTGTTCTTCTACTGTAAATAAAGGGAAATGAATTCACACCCTCAGAAGAGAGGTATGATGATACATTCGCTTGACTGCAACCACCCGCCAGCATCGCATAAGTTTTGACTGTTGGTTGGCTGATACTTTCTACGGTCCCTTATCACCAGAAAGAACAATCGGTGGCCGGCTAGGTACGATTCAGTCGACGACATCGATGTTCTACATAAGTACCACCTAAGCAGTAGAGTAGTGAGGACATCTTTTTGCACGTCGCTACATTTGGACAAGGAACAGACACAATAGCCATAGCCAGAACATATAAAAGCCTGCGAGCACCTTTACATTACTGAAGCCATCAGAAGCGTCATCAAGAGCATCAGAAGCGTCAAAAGCACCACATCGCACACCATTCGTAATCGCAATCGGTTTGACGGTTCGTCCGACGCACGCAAGTTCTTGGTTGGTACGAGCTCTGGGGTTATTTTGCAATCGCTATTCGCTATAAGGAATTTGACAATTCTAAAATTAAATTATTTTTAATACATTTTACGTTCTTAATAATATGTACCTAATTTTAAAAAAACCTACGCATCTATTTTGTCAATCTAACATTTTCGTCTACAGCGCATAAAACTAAACCACTATTTCACCGGCAGAAGAAAATGTTACATTGAATTTCATGCGTTTAGTGTCCGCTTCTTCAGCTCAAGTGCGCCATTAGGTTGCTCTGATATCTGCCACGATTCATGTGCCATTTCCTTTATCATAAAGTTGTACTAACCCTAATTTATTTGTTCCTCATCGATTGGCTAATTTTTTCACATAAGGCTTTAGATCTTCATTCCTTGTTCGTGGCCCGAAATCTTAGGTTAGGTTAGCTAGCTGGTTAGCCAGGACAGACCTCACATAGACCAAAAATAACATCCATAGCGTCGCCCAAAAATTTAAGTAGATGCAAATAATTTCCATATTCGCTTTGACACTCACTCGTTCGTATAAAGCAAATAGCATGACCAGCTCACGAAAGCGATGAATGTAAGCAAGAAGCGAGTTTATTTTCGTATCTTCATGTCATTTAGGATTCGGATCTCTTTTCAGAATGGGATTTTTGCGATCGGGTTGAGTTCATTTTGTTATCTCTGCACTGACCGTGTCACTGCTTTTTTAAGTAGATGAGGTTGCATGTGTTTTCAGATGAGCAACCGGCCGTAAGTATATGGTTTGTGCTCATAAACCACTCACATAAACGTTTATCAAATTTAAAGCATCTTAACTTCATCATTTAACCGAGGTGATGATCTGTCAACCCATTAGTGGCATTTCTTTCGTATAGAAAAAATAATGTATCGGATAACACCGGTCAATTAAGAATTCATAAACATACAACTAGTTGATGAAAATAGTTTATTTTAAATGTAGTTAAAGAAAGAAGGTTGTTGTAAATACGCAAAGTTGTTAATAAAAAACTCAAACGAAAAAAAGGCCTCTAATCCTCTTGATTTCAGAAATTCATCAAAACGTTAAGGAACTAAAAGCTTAATCTATGAATATATGTATGTGTTTTCGCACAACGCTTTAAGGAAACTAGTTGATATCCATATTTAAACCCTTATTTCTCAAACAACTACGGTTAATATGCCTTAGTTGAAAAAGTAGTATGGTTAACAGAAATATATACAGCTGTGACCACCTACCTAGTAATACGTTCAAATTGATTATTGCACTATCTAAATGAAGAAACAACTGTTTTATTTGTTTTTTTTAGTAAGACCAATCCATAACAAAACGTGTTTGGCGTTTTGCCACGGAGATTGAAAATAAATATCGTCGCCCGAACGACGATTCTTGATTGCAGATGCAGATACAATTTTAAAATAAGTGTTAGTAGTTTTTGGATATCTCTTTTAGTTTCCAAGATATTAGCTAAAAAAGGTTGTCGGCGACTTAGTATAAATTGACTTATTAGTGCAGTCATACAAAACTAATCAAGATCTTTCAAATGGCGTTATACATTTTTAATATATCCTTTATTTTCCGAGATTAAGAGTAAAAAGTATAGTTGATTTAGTAAAAATGTTAATCACATTTTGTACGTATGTCATACAAAATGGGTCCAAAATTGTTGACAAATGCAGCATAGGTCAAAATTTTGCTAAAGAAAACCCTTCATGGCGTTTTTGAGTTATTGCGATCCACACTTCAATCGTGATTTTCCAAATCCTTCCGAAAGAAACACACAACAATCTTCTATCCAGGCGACAATATATAAAATCCCGGCATCTGAATTAAGTCGTATTCATCGTTCAAGTTCTGAAGTAAAGTTGAAGCGGAATTAACAACTCAAAAAGCGTTCAGAACTTGGGCCTGTTCGAGGCACGTAATAAAAGCGGCAATACTGCAGCACCGATGAAAATTTGCAATACTGTTGCAATTTCCCCAATTGATAAGACGTTGCTAGAAATTCACACCGAACGTGATTCTTTAATAATTCGCGCAACACTGCGGTTATGATTGCATCTCGAACAAGCCCCTTTTCTGTTTTTCCCCCAGAGAGAAACACAACATCAACCACATGTAAGAAAATTCTGAACTAGAACGATGAATCCGACTTTATAGCTGTTTCCTTCAAGGTATTTCACTCCCCTGGGTCGTCCATCGCCAATTGCAAAACCGCCTATCTTACGGCACTCAAATTTTACAAGAGAGCAAAAAAAAACAATTTATTCTTTGAAGGCATTGCCTTGATAGGGGGTATTTTCTTTAGCTATTATTTTACAAATCTGTTGTTTCAATGCATAAATCTCGATGCCTGGAGTTTAGGGTTACCAAATCTCGTAACCTATAACGGTGATTTAGGCGGTTTTGCCACCGGTCGATGGGCGGTTTTGCAAAAACATCGACGATATTTATCAAGTCTTTGTCGGATTCTTGCTGATAAGACAAACTGGTTTTCAAACATGTTGAAAGGATTAATAGATAAAATTCTAACAATTTGCATTTAATTTAATTGCCTTAGAAACAGGTGTTTCCCCAGTGGCCAATTTGAACGTAGTATTAACCTTGATCAATAAATAATAATTGAAAAAAAAAAATTAATTCAAGTCACAGGTAACGCCAAAAACATAAAAATATTAATTTCTATCTTTTAAATCTAGTTGGTTAGTTCTGATTGTAAAATCATTGACATACCTGCCAACTGACGCGGCTTGACAAATTCTCCACAATTAGGCGATACTCGGTACGTAACGGCGGTCCATAACGAGAAGATGATCTGGAATTTTTGTTTCTGGTGAATAATTCAATGGATTTATAATTAGTTGTGACACTGCTGCTTTATTAGACATGTATTTTTTATTGATATTAATTAGCATTTTTAGTTTAGTCGACACAAGTCACTGTAGGCAAATTTCTGGTGTAGGGTGTAATAGCTAAAATAAATGCTACTCTAATCTAAATGCTAAAAGCAACCCTGTGATCTTCAAAAATTTCCACAATTCGAACATGGTTTAATGAGAATAAGTGGCAACATTGCTCGCGGATCGAGATTTCATTTATTATTTTACACTATTTGGATAAAGAAAAGTTACGCATAATCAACATCGATATGATGCTGATAGAAATCTGGCTCAATTTGTGATCAACTCTGTTTTTATCCTATCTCATAGAGTAAAAAACAATTAACAGCACCGTCAAATGAATATATACACAAATTTTCGGTTTTGGTTTAAACAGTTCAAGTTTTTGTATTGAATTTTTGGTTTAAAATTGCTTTTTGACTTTTCAGTAGGGTTTTTGCACATTGAGAATTGATCGTGATAGATCCGGCTCTGAATAAGCGACTGGAACACGGCTGTTTGTCAAAAGCATACGATTTCGAACTCGCATAAATGTAAATTTGCTAAATGCGATAGCATGAACGCTCTTTGAAAACATATGTTCGAAAGTGCTAAATGTGGCATTTTAAATGCAGCAAAAACGCTGCATAACTTAAATTTTGTATATTAAAAAAATGTATATACAAACTTTTTAATCAGAAATTCCAGAAAAAATCTGGTACTTCGGAGCGGAGCGGAGTAAAGGAATAGTAACTATTTATTTTGAAATACTTTTATTGTGGTTTTTCCACACAAATTTCCATTAACGGGGTCAAGCTCAATAAAAAAAAAAAAACGTTCAGTTCATAAATTTACTTATTATTTGTTGCCACTGAAAACAACCGTGTTAAATAAATTTCCATTCTAATTAATTTAAATTTTCTTTTGGATGCAGTTGCGACATTTTTCTGAAAATTTTAATTTTTGATGCAAAAATGTATCTAGATGCTTAAATTTGTTAATACTAAAACTTTTGCAACTTGGATTTTAATTCCAGTCATCTTAAATCATAAACAGACGGCAGCGTTAATCCAGGTTAACTCGGACTTAATCCGGATCAACTGCAGTTAATTCCCGAGTTGATCCGGATCAACACTGCCGCCTTTTTATTACCATATGTAACAAAAGAAAATAGAAAGATATAGAAAATGTTGGCTCGGTATTAATATAAGGAGTGTATCCTTATTCATTCCAAACGTTCGGAATACACTTTTATGTTTACTTATTCGTTGGAACGTACCGGATAATCTAAACGCATTTTTTTATTCCATCTATCGCACAGAATTCATACAATATTCTGCTGAACAGCTGTATATGTGAATATGTACGTAAAGAATCGCATGAAAATAATGGCGCTAGAAAAACCAAGTAAGTTTTTGCTAATTGTTTTACGAAAAAAACCATTAGCAAATTAAATATTAATAAGCAGTGAAAAGTTGTTTTCTAGCTGTACCTAATAATTTTATTCTTTTCTGTTTCTTTAATCCCATTTTTCTATTGTAGATCCAGAATGAACAAAGAACTACGCCCATACATACATACATGCAAGGGTTGCAATTGAACACAGACGTTGGGGTTGCCAGTCTATTAGAATGTCAGAAAAATAATTACCAAAAACTATAAGGAAACCAAATAAGATAAGAAATGGAACAAATAAGGAAAAGTGTATATTCATTCAATACCGTTAATATGATGCAATATCAATACCAATGATGAAATAATGTGACCAACCGTACTTCTTTCGGAAGTACAGTACTTCTCTTTTCGCTCTTGTACTTCGTACTTCGAAATAAAGTCAAATGTACTTCTTTGCGATATTTTGTACTTCATAATAGCTAACTGGTTTCATAATCTTCCCCCAGGTCCTGTACTTCTCCGATTTTCTGGACGATCGTCACATGGCCTGGGTGATAAATTCGTTAGAGCCTGTAAGTCGCCGGGGAATTATGGAATCATACCTGCGCAGCTGCATAGGCGGATCCTATTTATGCGAACTGCGTGAGGAACGGGTACATCCCCAAGGCTTGGAGGGTAGTCAGTGTTACGTTCAGCTCGAAGGCCGGAAAAGGCGCACATGTTTTCCCTAGGTATTTTAGGCCTATCAGTCTCTCTTCGTTTTTGCTAAACACGCTAGAGAGACTGATAGACCTGTACATAAGAACCGCGATTCCTGGTGACTGTCTTTCAAGAGCTAAATATGCTTATTGCAAGCAAAGGTCGGCGAATATCGCCCTGCATACATTGGTAAAGTTGACAGAGGAACCCTTAACGTATATAGATTATGCAGTAGGAGCCCTTCTTCGATATCGACGGTGCTCTCAACAATGTCACACCAGAGGCAATAGTCCGGTATATTCATAATCTGGGGGTTGAAACCAACCTTATAAGGCTTATCTACAGCATACTACCGCGGACAGAATTGTCGCGGCGGAGTGGGGACGCGCCTGCACTCAGTGCAGAGTCATTAGGAGCACTCCACAAGGTGGTGTTCTCTCTCCCCTGCTCTGGATTGGGGTTGTAAACGACCTTCTAGAGGAACTGGAAAAGTGGGCTGTCGGGTGATCGCCTATGTAGATGATGTGGAACTTTTGGTTAAGGGACGATTTCTAGACACCGTTTGGGATTTAGCCCAAGGTTACCTGAAGCAGGTAACTAGGTGTGCGATCAACGGAGGCTGTCGTAGAAGCATAACATTGAAGAAAGGGTAGCAAAGGTGTCGGTTGCCTTGTACTGACTGCTGCAGGGGAGCTTATCGGTAAAAGGTGGGGTCTCTCGCCCAAATTAATTCATTAGCTCTAGGAAACCAGATTTAAGCCTATATTGTTTCAAGGAGCCCTTGTCTGGTAGAACTGACTAGAGAAGGCTGCACTTGTAAAATAGAAATTAGCGGAGCATTAGGAACCACACCTACACTGGCGCTTAACATACATATCGCACACTATCTTCGAAAGTCACGACTCAAAATTTGGCCTTTTTGAGATTATGCGCTAAAAATGTACGCAGAGCTTTTATTTACCTTTTAGCAAAAGCTAGAGCAAATTTTCTATTGGGCTAAGAGAAACCGACTCATTTTGTGAATTAAAAAAGGAAAGGAAGACGTTTCTCTGCTGCAGCAAATGTTTTTATAAGGCACTTTAAAACACGTTACCTCTCAAGGCCATTGTGCGATTAGCATTCATGCGGCGAGACTAGGAATTGCAACTGATCCTCGCACGTCTGAGAAAACACTGAGCTCCCAGGGATCGAAATTAGCCGCATTCGAAATTTCGCAACCGGGTCGCGGCGTTAACGTAACCCAACCTAACCTGTACTTCTTTTAACTATGAAATAGTTGGTCATATTACTCATTTATCGTCGGTCCCTACGAAGAGTAGCACATTTCACTATTTGCGTGGAAGAGTAGCACATTTAAGGTTTAAACTAAATCATTAAAGCATAATTTGTAATTTATATTGGAAATTCAAGTGCTTATAAAATATATTTCTATAATTCTATTATAAAATTCATGAAATTCAGTCGGTATATATCGTTTGGTGATCATTTGCTGGAGATCATCCACTTTTCTTTTTTTTAAAGGCATTTTTCCCCTTTAAGCTTTATGCAATTCATATTGTTTCATGGTTAACCATTGAAATTTTGTTTTCAGTATGTACAATTTCAACTAAAATAAAGTTCATTTAAAAAAACCATGTAAACCCACGCTTAAAATTTTGTAGAAATCTAAAAAAAAAAATCAACTAATTTCAATTCAAGGCACATTATTGTACCATGATTTTAATTCAAATTTCAAATTTATTTACTCAGAAGTGTTAAAATTTTTTTGAGTATGAAGCTTTATAGCCGATTCAATTTTAGTGTGATAATGTGCAAGTTTCAAGAGCCTTAAAACCTTGTGAGTCTTTTTGTCGCATTCGCTACCATATAACGAATAAACACAATTTATTTTTATATGGAAGAAAACCGCAACAACGGAAATTTTTAGCCACTTGAAACTTGCACATTATTGCAATAAAATTGAAAGGGCTTTAAATCTACAACTCAAAAAATTCTGAGAAAATAATTTTGACATTTGGATGAACATTTTTAGATTTTTTTAGTTTTCTACAAAGTTTTAAATTTGGATTTATAAAGTTTTCCATGTATTTTTATATGGGGAAAACAAAACTTTTCGTAGAAATGGTATAGAATTCTTGAAAATCAATATTTTTCGATCGGAAAACTCTGGTTCTCTTCAGGAGACTTACAATAATAATACCCAATTATTTATTTAACCATTTTTTAATACTAACGATTTTTTATTTGTCCCCCCATTACATTTTTCCGGGTTTTTGGCGGACCTACAAATTATAGTTGCGATGAAAAAATGGTTAAATAAACGATTGGGTAATATTATTGGGAATCCTGCAGATGAAGAGTTTTCCGATAGCAAAATATTAGTTTTTTTGAATTCCAAACCATTTCTACCAAAAGTTTTTTTCCCCATATAAAATACATGGAAAACTTCGGGCGCTTTTAGCGACCTCTAAATATTTTTTGTTTTCAAAATAAAAAAATATGGGTATATTTTTTTCGGTATAGAACAATCCTAGGGGTGAGAGCATAAATATTCCGACTTTACTTTTTCACATGCATTTTTGGACATACATATATGTTTTCAAATATATCCGTCAAAACAAGTAGGAGGAAAATAAACGTTTGTTCTATTTGTAATAAAATACCGAAAGGCTCCATACACAACATTAAACTCTCAGCTTAGTCGAGGAGAAATAATTATAACAAATGTATGTTTGGTTTTTGTACGGCTGCTAGTACCACTTTATATGAATTCGCTACTCTTCTACGCGAGAATCTGAAATGTGCTACTCTTCCACGCAAAAATCTGAAATGTGCTAGTCTTCGACGCGAATAGAGAAACGTGCTAGCCTTCCACGGTAATTTGAGATGTGCTACTCTTCGTTGGGAGCGACGATATGACGCCAAGATAAATTTTATCTGAGGAAAAACCGCTTTTTATCAAAACTTTCAAACTTTTTATCAAAACACCTTTTTTGGCTAAACTAATAATCTGTTAGATTTATAAATAAATTTGTATTGGAGTCCTTTTTTTGGCATTTTGCGTATACGCTGTATTGCACGCCAAGCGACGATATGCTGTGGTATAATTTAACTAAACGCAGTCCAACCGACGATACGAGCATTGACAATGCCCCACAAATGTTTAAATTTCTGCCGATACAACAGACAAATCGGTTGTTGTTGTTGTTGTAACAGCATACAAATTCCCCAAAGAGATTTTGGGGAGTGTTGCTGGAGTGACAGTCCTTGGCCAGATATAAATCTGGGTCGTTCCGATTACGTAGACTGTCGTGGGAACGGTTGTAAAGCCATGGTTCCCTCTTTGCGTCCAACATAACCATGTTGGACTGTCACAACTCAAAAACGCATCGAAATACCCGGCTTTAAAGTTTTGAATTTACATATAATTTCATAGTAAAATTTAATACATATTTTATTCTAGTAAGATAGTGGTAACCGATACAGCTATGAAATTTTTACACAACATAGAATAAGTGGTCGCGGTAATTTCTGCATACTAATTTGTAATTTTTAGATTAGGACCCTATTGAGGTAAGCGATATGTATTGGTTGTTTGTGAACGCTTAGTTATCTAAAAACCACTAATCGATATCTAATCGAGAATTTACATGATTCAACTTTCACAGGCGAATAGTTGAATCAAAAGTTGAACAAAAGTACGCAGCCGACACCACCAGGCGATTGTTGCTTTCAACTATAAGTGGCCTGAAAAATCGTCTCATGCAAATTTCCTATAACTTCAATGTTTGCTGGGGTTCGTCAAAAGGCTACCCGGTTTTTTATGTTACAATGTGTTTTTCCTTGCCCTCTTATTGGAAAACTAACTACGTATTTATAAAAATTCATGTCAACGCAGTATCAGTGTCTCTTTTAAAAGTACCAATAGCAACGTAAATGATATACATGTAAATGATATACATGTCGTCGATATTTTTGCAAAACCGCCCATCGAACAGTTGCAAAACCGCCTAAATCGCCGTTGTGGCCAAAATGAGATTTGATAACGCTGAACTCCAGGCGTCGAGTGCATAAAAATCTTTAAATCGTTATTAAAACCAGATTTGTAATATAATAGATAGACAAAATACCACCCTATCAAGGTAATGCCTTCGAAGAATTAACCGTTTTTTCGCTCTCCTGTAAAATTTGAGTGCCGCTAGATAGGCGGGTTTGCAAAACCATCGACGACGTGTATTTCGTAGTTATATATCGTCACATGAGGGTCAATTCTCGTTCCGCGTTATCGTCAAAGTAAAAAATTCACACTGAGATTAGTGCGGTGTGAGTGTTATTTTTATCACTACACAATAACGCAGAACGAGAATTGATCCCCTGAAATCCGTTAACAAACATAGTCACTGATATGCAAAAAGGTGTGACTAATATTTTTTTTTCATACATCGATGTCGGGAATTGTTATTCGATGAAACGCATCAATCTATCAAAAAGTAAATGTGGGTGCGCTCGAGCTACGTAATTACCGCAATATTGCAGCCTTGTTGCTTTCCTGATGTCTTTTTGCTGATGCTCAACTGAAAATTTTCTAAAATGCTGCAGAAATTGGGAAGTAAAAATTTTGATGTTGCTTTTGATTTGCCAATGATGAGTAACTGATTGTCAAAATTTTGTTCCTCGAATGCTTGATGTAGGCACAGTCGCCCAAATATTCGCATAGAACGTGATACTGTTTCATAAAAAGTAACACTGCGGCATTTATTGCGTCTCGAATACACCCTGTGTTACGACCGTTTGCATTTCAGCGATGTTACACACGGCTTTTTGCATTTCAGGGGATATGTATATCGTATCGTTACTTCAATATAGAACAAATTTGGTTTGGAAATTCAGCTTTGTACTCAATTAATTAGAATTAACTACATCAATAAATTAGTATCCGTATTTGCCCCAAATTTGTGTTTAGAAGAAATTCGCAAATGAACTTTTATTTATATAGTAAAGAAACCAAAATATCCCATAGGGCATTTCTATATTTAGGTAACGATATGTAAAAGCATAAACAGACGGCAACGTTGATCCGGATTAAGTCCGAGTTAATCCGGATAAACGTTGCCGATTGTTTGAGCTTTAGCTTCTAGGCAGTATAACCAGTCAATTAACAAAGTTTTTGATCAGCTATACCAACCAATAGGTAATAAAATGTTTCATACGATTTGTAACTCTTACTCACTTGTCATTATACCGGCCACCGCCACCACGGCGGTTCCCATATCGATCGTCATATCGGTCTCTATGACTGCCACGAGCCGTACCCCTTGCCGGTTCAACCACCACTCTGCTAAAACAAAACACTTGCTTTCGTAAAATCCAGGTATACACACATATATATATAACTTCGGAATACCTCTCGCCTAATAATTCCTTCCCGTTTAACTCATAGACAGCATCATCGGCGTCTCTGTAGTCTTCAAATTCCTAAAAATTAAAATTTTTGATTAAAGGAAATTAAAGAATTTTCCTACGTCGGCGCAGAACAAAATAATCTTAGTATACATTGTAGCTAACTACATACATATATATGTATACTTATATTGATTTTTAACTTCCAGAATCAAATAAGCGCTTCATACTTACAACGAAGCCATATCCATTCTTGATCAAAATATCGCGCGTTCGTCCATAACCTTTAAAAAAGCGCTCCAAATCTCTTTCACGAACTCCATACGGTAACCCACCGACGTAAACCCTTGAACCGACCATAATTTTCCAGGCCTTGTAATTCTACGCGTATAAAAATTCAGAAAACGCAATTTTTCACTATGTGTATAAAAATCAGTACAAATTGCCAAATCCCTAGCAACTTAATAACACAACATGAAAATTTTCAAAATGGCGACCTGAAGGAAAATCACTAAGTATTCTCGAATTTCGCAAATTAATTATTGTTCGCAAATTCGAACAATTCTGGTAAACTACTGTCTCTACCTGTTCACAAGTCAATCAAATATAATTAGAAAATTAATTCAATTCCACTAATTCAAGTAATTACTTTTAATCCGGCACAAGAAAAACACAAGCTCTTCGGCAATCAAAGCGGAAATAGATATTTTCCATTGAACGGTTCGAGTGATGTAAAAATGGCGGCTTTGGCTTGGGAATAGAGTTACCACTGCTTTGAAAACTCTGAATTGATTTAATAGCTTATTCACAAAATAGAATGGCACGTAGTCCTGAATATATTAGGACCAGGGCTCGAATCGTAACATCCGTTCACGGATCGAAAACGATACGAAAGAAAATTACGTGATACGTCAGGCAGTATAAACTAAAGGGGACAAAGAGTACGTTCACGTATGTCATAATCCGAAAAATGTGTTTTNCGCTTTCGCTTGGGCATAGAGTTACCACTGCTTTGAAAACTCTGAATTGATTTAATAGCGTATTCACAAAATAGAATGGCACGTAGTCCTGAATATATTAGGACCAGTTTTCGCATACCTAAAGAATACCGACCCTTGAGCTAAAGAAAAAAGAAAACGTGGACGTGGTGCACCCCTTTCTGCTGAGTTTAAAGGTACGACCGCACTACGCGACACGGCGCGACACATTTTGGTATACCGCACCCAAACTGCAGCGGCGCGACACTTCGCTGCAAATTTTTTTTATTTGCGTTAAAACCTTCAAACAAGATGGATGTCAGTGACGCTAATGTAATGTTAATGCCTCTTTTTTATTTTCCTTGGCGAATTCTCCTCAAATGTTATGTTTCTTTACATACAATTTTCTTTTTGAATGAAATGCATTTGAATATTCACTCACAATTTGATATCAATTTCTTCAAGTTAAAAATATAGTACGAAATGTTATGTCGCTCCGCACATATGGGTATGACGCACTATGCGGCACCGGAACTGCGCGACACCACGCGACGCGACATTTTTGCCTGATTGGTCAACTTTGCCACGAAGCGTCGCGTCGCGTAGCTCCGCTGCAGCGTAGTGCGCTATGCTCCATAAGAATCCATGCAAAGAATATTTTGCCGCGCGTGTAGTGTCGTGTCGCGTCGCCTAGTGCGGTCGTACCTTAATGGTACATTTTTTTTTTGGAGCAAATTGACAGGGGTGGCGCTAGGGGGGAGAGGCTAAACGTGGAATCTCCAACATTTTCAAAAGCTTGTATTTTGAAAACTTTTGAACTGATTTTTAAAATATGGACACAGTTGGGAAGGTAATTGAAGGACCTATCATTCAATATATATATCTATGTATATAATGCAGACATATTTTGAGAAAAAGTAAAAAAACGAAATTATGGCAATTTTTTAAAAAATTTATGTTTTTCGTAAAAAAATACGTAATTCACATGTCAGCCACTTGTTCAATTTAAACTCAGTTTACTTAACGAACATCGGATTCGTAATCAGCGACACCAAAACCCCCCGAAAAACGAGTTTCAAGCGATTCCGATCAATTTCTAAAAAAGTCATCCGCCATATTGGATCCGCCATTTGGAATTTTGTAAAACTAACATCGGATTCGTCGGCCGCTGTGGTGTAGAGGTAAGCAGTGCGCGCTTCCACTTCGCAACGCCAGGGTTCAAACCCTGGTCAAAGCAACATCGCAAAAAATGTAGAAAAAAGGTTTTTTCTTAACAGCGGTCGTCCCTCGGCAGGCAATGGCAAACCTCCGAGTGTATTTCTGCCATGAAAAACAGCTTCTCATAAAAATACAATCGCCGTTCGGAGTCGGCGTAAAACTGTAGGTCCCTCCGCTTTGTGTGACAACATCAAGCGCACGCCACAAATCGGAGGAGAAGCTCGGCCAAACACTAACATATGTGTAAGCGCCAATCTATTATTATTATTAACATCGGATTCGTAATCAACGGCCCCGAAAGCCCCCGAGTAACGAGTTTCAATCCATTAAAACGTTCAGAAGCATCAAAATGAACTTGGTAAACTTCAAAGTCGTTTTTCTCGATATCTTTTTTTCTGAGCGTAGGTCCGTTTTAACTTTACGTGTCACATTTTATATTTTTATTTTAACATGTATAAGTATTATTTAATTTTTTAATATTTTTATTGAGCTTTGTACCACGATTATTTTATTCGGAAAAATGGAAAAAGTAAAATAGTCTAAGCGGTAGAAGGTATAGCAACTATTTCGGAGAACACCAAAGGCCCTCATCAGATTTCTTTTTTCTAGACTTCAGCTGGGATCGTACCCACGTCATCGATGTACAAAATCAGAAGCGTTAACCACTGAGCTATGCACACCCCGCAAACTCGTGTTGCTAATCCATTTTTCCTTATTCAACCTAATGGGTTCCCTGCTGAAGTCTAGAAAAAAGAAGTCTGATGAGGTGATGTGGTGATATCCGAAATAGCTGTTATAACTTCTACCGCTTAGACTTTGTTGCTTTTTCCATTTTGCCTAATAAAATAATCGTGGTACAAAGCTCAATAAAAAATTTTCAAAAATTAAATGTTAATAAGCCACAATAACATTGACAAATTATTAAATTTTATTTTATTAAATTTCGTTTTATTACCTTTTTTGCTTATGGTATTTCATATAATTATTTCGTTATTAATCAAATTCTTTGGAGTTTAAATTTAATTAAAAAGGTCACAACAACTATGATTAAATAAAAAAAATCTAAATAATACTTAAAAGAACAAAGGAGGATTTAAAAGAATTTTCCCTGGCAGTGGTATTCGAAACCACGACTTCCCGGCTTACTAAATCCGCAATCCTGCAGCGGACACATATGGAGCACTGTTCTCTCTCATCTTAACAAAAAGTAATTTTTAAGATATCTATGATTGACAGAGCTTAAAAACCTGTTCTAAACTTAAAACTGTATTTTAACAAGAATGAGTTTTAACTTGCGACTATGACTATGGGCCAATGAATTTAGGAAGGCTGTTCAGAATGCTGGGGAGATGGTCTTGGATTTGCAAATTTTATGCTTGTTGCAAATTGTATGCTGTTTGCATTGTATTGTTGTGAATTTACAAATGCAACGAATATGCAAATGCAAAAGCATATGCACAAGATCATGAACAGCCCTAGGGTTTTAAATTGATGTAATATCATTGCCACTTCACTTGATTTCGCGAAATCTTTTGAAATGCAGTGGGACTTCCCATATATTTTCATGATTTCGATTTCTTGGATTTTAATAAGATTTAAACGAAATCCCAACCCCACGTCTTCATTTTCTACTAAGTGTGTCTTAACATCTGTCAAATTTCTCTTTTTTAACTTTGTCCCGTTTTCTCATGTGGGCAACTTACTGTCTTAACATATCACTTTCAAAATGGCACCAAGGCAATCAGATCGATCTGTACCCAATGTAAATGAAGCGGCAAAATAAAACTGAGTTGTCAAACTACGAAATTACAGCTGAAGTTAATGCAGCGTTTTTGCTGCATTTAAAATGCAACATTTAGTACTTTCGAACATATGTTTTCGAAGAGCGTTCATGCTATCGCATTTAGCAAATGTACATTTACGCGAGTTCGAAATCGTATGCTTTTGACAAACAGCCGTGTTCCAGTCGCTTATTCAGATCCGTATCTATTACGATCAATTCTCACGCAGCAGATAATGTGCAAAAACGCTACTAAAAAGGAAAAAATAAATTTTAAACCAAAACTTCAATACAAAAATTTGAATTGTTTTAACCATGACCGACCATTTGTTTATGTATATGTTCAATTGTCGGTGCTGTCAATTAAAATTTCCTCACTTAAT